TTGTGAAACTGCAAATATTTTCCATCTCACATACATTTTGCAGCACTAAAGCTTACCTGCGTTGGAAACATAAGTCCTACTCTACATTTTTAATTAATGTGTAATCTAGTTTGCATCACTGAAGTATTTTTTATAACCCAACTGAGATTACTGGGGTCAAAACTGGGTTTATATTCTTTATTGAAACCAGGCAAAAACTCGGTGGGCCCTTGGATTATGATTGGGTTGCAACATTGGCCAAATTCAATTTTTTGTTTCTTTAATTCTTGACACATTCAAGTGTTTCTTCCATCTATTGAAAGGGTAATTTATACTTATAAATTGGGTCGAGCTGGGTAATGGGCCGTTATGGGCCACATTGCGAAGGACTGAGTAAAAAGGCCATGAAGTTACTCCGGCCCAAGAGAGGTGTAAAGTTACTCCGGCCCAAGAGGGGTATATAGTTACTCCGGTCCGAAAGAATCTTGAGGTTATTCCGGTCTAAAGGAAGCTTTGAACATAGCCCGGTTGCCGTACGCAAAGTTAGTCCAGTCTTGGGTTATCTAGGTTATCTCGGCCAGAACCTTGCTGTTTGATAGCTCGGTCTGATCACACCATGGTTGACGCTAAGAGAAACCTGGGTAAGAGCAATAAATGGAAGAGCCGAACTAAAGTTAGCTCGGTCTAGTCTGCGGCTTAGCATAAGCCATGCTTACCTCAGTCATAGTGGAATCCGACCATGGTAAAACTATCTCACTTGGTTTAAGCAGTGAGGAGGGTGTTGAAGGATAAGCATTATCTTTCAAGAGTATGAATCCTAGGAGGACTCTACATGGAGGAGTAAGAGTTCTATTTGGATTGTGCCACACGGAACCTATAAAAGCTCACAAACATCACCTATGGAGAGGTAACACACAACTTTGATACACAGAGCTTTTTGTTTACTTGTCTATTTTGCTGAGTTAGGCATCGGAGGGGTTTCCGGCACACACTCGCCGGCTAGCTCACATTTGTGTTTTCAGGAAGTAAAGTGACAACGTTTGGAGGAGCGCAAACTTGATCAACAGGATTATACGAGAAGGTTTATTTCTTTCCCGTACACCTATGTATGTCATCCCTTGCAGCTAGTTACAATATGGTAGACCTTATAGAGAGACTGATACAAGTCGGCTTTCATTTGTTCTTTTCCTTGCAGGTGGGTAGGGGCAACTTTTGAATTCCTCAGCATCCTCCATTGTAGTCTGTATATGCATATACAAAATAAGGTGTTAACACAAGGAAGATTGGAGTATTTCATACTCAAAGTGATGAAATGAGCCAATCTCGTTGGTCTCCATTGCCTTTGATCACATATGATAAGGTGGTGGTCTTGAGTCTTGTTTTTGCATACAATGAAATTGATCTCCTTGGTTCCTTGGGCATCATGCATTGAAAATGCTTGGTTGGTGGTTTTGGATCCAAGTGTGGCACTCCTTTGAGGTTTTGAGATGATAAGAAGAGACACAGTACAAATAAACCCCTGGAAAAACCTCCAATTTCCTCTGTTTGTGCTCTATTGCAATGTGGTGACTCAGAGCATCAGTGGCCTACAGTGCCTCATTCTTGGTCGGCAAGGCACACTTTTGGCCGGCAGAGGGCCGGCAACAACCATCCATGGTTGGCAGGCCACTAGTGTAATCCTCAGCAAGTATTTGGTAAGGTGGAGCAGAAAGTTTCTAGAGTATGTTCAACCCTGCAAACAGAGCCTCTCAAGAGCAAAATGGTGGCTTTTCGAGGCGAAAACCGAGTGCATGCATCCTCCACTTCCTGAAGCAGAGCTATGGCAGTGTAGTCTAAATATCTTGCATGATTAGTTAGTGTGAATGTGTTTTATTTAATTAGTTGTTAATTAGTTAAAGTGTTGTAATAATTAGTCTAATTATCTTAATTAGATTAGCTTAGCTCTTATTCATTCGGACCCTTCTCCGTGAGGGCATAATGTTGTAATAAGTGTGCGTGCATGTGTGCATGTCTTCCAACCCCACGTCTTTCTCCCGTTTACTTAACCGCTTTCGATGGTTAGTTTAGGAACATTTTTTTTAATTAGCATACCTTATGCTTGCATGTTTGCATCCATTCATTTGTCTTGTATGCACCGAGGCTTGGCGCATCATTCAAACTACATCGTAATTTCAATATCTTCTTTGAATACGTGTTTAAAAGCATGTTATCAAATTGAACTGAATCAAATGCCATATTAGTAGCTGAGCCTATTAAATTCATATTTCACGTGTTGCATTAGGCATCTTGTATAGTTAAGATCATGCATTTTTCTAACTAGTTTTTTTTTGTTTTTTTGTTTTAGCTTTGAGTACTCGGTAAACTTTTACGCTTTAGAATGCTTGCATGAGTGTGATTGCCATATTGTCATGTTTCGCATGCTTGCCATGAGACTATTTGCTTACATGATTAACTGTATGAATGCCTGTGGATGTAGGCTTTGTTGTTTGAATTGGAACAATTCAACGAATATGCGTTTTAAGCCCACTTTGTCGTGACAAAATCATATTTTAAGCCCACTTGAGGTGGCAAATCCGCATCTTTCAAGCCCACTTGAGGGTGGCAACTTCAAATCATTTCCGCAAACAATCATGAGTTGAATTATTCCAAGTCTTGCGACTAGTCTATACTTGTTTGTGCGCGTCACATAGTAATGTTAGCTAATAACCGGAATAAGAACGCATAATGTTTATAAAACATCAAATCATGGTTAGTAGAGGCCGATCTTTGATCGGACGAGCATGGGTGCTCAATTCATGACCTTCCCCCCTCGTACCTAAGTTCCCGAGTCGAGGCAACTTTGGTGATGACGGACACGTGGCCTTTGGCACGAGTCAGGGTTTCCTATATTTCTCCAAAAACAAAACATTTAGGTGACGACTCTGTAATCTGGCAAAGCAGTCCAATTTTGGTATTATTTGATTTAAAATCGATTTTTCAAAAAGATTTGCCGGATTAGACTCTTTGGTGTTTATCAGTTTCACATTGCACTTGTGATTCAGAACCGCGGGAGTCCCAACTGTGAGGCCTTTCTTTTCAAACCATTTTTCGATAGGCGAAGTGCGCGAGAAAAACGCAAGTCAACAAATACGTATGTCGGGTCGTCTCAAGATAATAAGAATTCAACAGTGGTTTACCAGACGTATATTTTTTGTTCAATAATTTGATTCCGAACTATTTTATTTTGTTCAATTTTGACACACCAAACAAAAGTTGAAGAACTCTCTCAAAAAATGAAACAAAAACCAACCAAACAAATAAAAAAAACTCATCATTTCATTTTTTTGATGATTCTTCACCACCGTTTCATCATACATTGCTTTTTTCTATGATTAAAACATTATGATTTTCATTATTTGAAAAGAAATGTGTAGTTGAGAAGAAAAACTGAGAATGAAAGAAGAGCAGTAGGAATTGAAGAGCAATGGGTGTAAGAAGATAATAAAATATATTTAATTTTAATATTGTCCTTAAAAGTAATTTCACACATAGGTAAAACTGAAAGGAAAAAAAAAAATCTTATATGAAAAGAGTGATTACTTGTACCACTAGTTTATCTCTTTACACGCTCTATATGAGATCCCCCAATTTTACCCATGTGTGAAATTACTTTTGAGGACAAAATATTAAAACTAAATATATTTTATTATCTTTTTACACCCATTGTTCTTTAATCCTTACTATTTTTCTTTCTTTCTCAGTTTTTCTTCTCTGCTACATATCTCTTTTCAAAAAGTGAGAATTATAGTATTTTGATCATATAAGAAAGTAATGGATGAAGAAACGATGGTGAAAAAAAGAAAGAAAGAAAAGAAAGTGAAATGGTAATTTTATTTATTTGTTTGGTAGGTTTTACTTTCATTTCTTGAGAGAGTTTTCGACTTTTGTTTGGTATGTTAAAATTGAACAAAATAAAATAGTTTGGAATCACATTACTGAACAAAAAATATATATCCAGTAACCCACTATCAAATAAAAGATACATTTTCAGTAATAGAAGGCCGAATGTTTTTAATTTGTTCAGTTATTCATTACCATGCATTTCTAGTTTCATTTATTCATTTATATTTTTTGTTTTTTTTGTTCAGTTATTCATTACCATGCATTTCTAATTTCATTTATTTATTTATATTTTTTGTTTTTTTGTTTGAAAGGATTATGCTTCTATTCATTGCAGCAATGCAAGTGCAATCATCCGACTGCGGAACATCTTGAAGGGTACTCATTTACCGGTAGATTATCTGAGGAGGAAACATTCTTATTAGTTGACATGTCAAAGAGTATGGTGCAACTAAAAGAGATATTGAATACATTGAAACAAAGAAATGCTTTAATGCAACAACAATGAAGACAATCTACAATGCAAGTAAAGCGACAGATAGCTGGACAAATTTATTTTAGTTCAACAACATGATACTAGAGTAATCTAATTTGTATAGTAATGTATCACCAATCAAACACTTCACAAATAGACTCCAACTAATTTCTTATTAAAGTAAAGTAAAATCATTCAATCGAACGATAACAAATGGCTAGAAAAAATTGGTTTGTCTAGTAACACGACACTAAAGTAATTCAAATTCTTTAACATTATATTACCAAAAGCTATCGGGATAAAGAAGCAAAACTAAAAGGGTTTTGAAGAGTTTTTAATTTAAAGTTAATTTTGATTGTATAATAAATATAATGGGAATCACATTTTTTTTAAAATAATACAATGAGATAAAAGATGTAAAGAAATAAACTAATAATGTAAATAGAATTACTCATATAAAAAATATCAATAGATAAACTAATGGTATAAATAATATATATATATATATATATATTTCCATTTCTTTCACCTGCATGGAATTACCTCCCATAAAATTAACGACCACTGAGTCAACTCTGTAAACCACGACACTCGTACAGTCCACTCGGCCGAGTTATGCTTATCCTTGCCCCCCGCTGGAAGATATTCTTTGCTTGGGCACAAAAAGGTATAAATATGCAAGAATTTGAAGAAAGGAGAGAGAGAGAGAGAGAGAGAGAGAATCCATGAAACAAGAAAAGTAAAGGCTAGGGCTTTCCTTTTGATCCTGTAAAGAATCAGCATCTTCAATGGCGGTGCTCTTCTCTACTTCAAACTTGTTCGACTCTGCTAGGGCTTCTCAGAATTCCGTTGAAGATCTACCTCAGCAACATTTAATACTCTCTTCTCGTCCCAGTTTCGCCCAAGCAAATACTGTCTTCAATTCTCATTGCAAACCTCTCACATTTATAACCGTATGATCTTTAAAACTTTTCTCAGGTCGTTAATTTTTCTAGTTTTGTTTTGGTTTTTGGTGTGTATATGAAATTTTTCAAGAGTTTTTGGTTTTCTGTTTATGTGGTTGAGTTGAGACCATTGCAATTTTTTATTTTTGAAATTTTGCTGATGTTTTCATTTCTTTATTGAATTGTATTGTTTGCAAATGAGTTGCTCAATCTCTTGTTACATCATACATTTGGGTTTTCTTCATGTTCTTATTTTCTGTTAGACCAAATTGTTGCTAATTGGGGTGTTGACAGGGTCGGTTTATTGATTTTGGGGGGAAAATCATCAACCGACCCACCCCTTGGAAAATTGAGAATTTTTCAGCCCCCGGCCAACACACCTATCCTCATTTGGGTTGGTTATTTTGGCAGTTTCAAACCAGCGGTTTGAGAGGGTTAAAAATATAAAATAAAAAGGAACACCAATGATTATTTAATGTTTTTGACAATTTCAAACAAAAAAAAGTAGTTATTTTTTATAAATTCTAACACAAAATTCACAGATTAATCGAATGCACAATGTTATGAAAATTGTAGTCCACAATTTAAAATACAAAACAATCAGATTAGAAAAAATATATATATGTTTTGAAAATGAGTAGGTGTCATCTAATTAATGGTATTAAGGTTAGGAAGAGAATCTGTGTGGGTATATGCAAAGTAATGTTGCATTGTTTTGTAGGCGGGTTGACAAATTTTAACCCACATGCCAACCACCCAACCCAGCCCGCTCACTTTCTCAAACCACATGGGTCGGTTTGGGTTGGCAAGTTGGCAATTTTTTACACACCCCTAGTTGCTAATTATACCTCGTTCAGAAATATTGTGTCATTTGCCACCCATGAGCTCAGTCCTTATTTTCATGTACTGAGGTGCTAATATATTCAAGTTTTGGATTCCTATATAATTGAACTCGAGCATGTTTGTTTCTCAAAGTTAATTTGGTCGGATACAATTGTAAACTTTCAAATGTTCATGTATCTTATTACTCATCATCACATTGCATTTGAAACATACAGTTTGTGAGTACAAGGTCATTCATGGGCTAACACATGTTGGCGTGTCTTGTGTTTTTGTTAACAAGCTTTTTGTGTGTTACAAAAGTACTTTGGGGATAGCAGAGAATTGGAACCCCCATGGTCCCCTCATTGTTATCTCTTCTATATTCTAGTTAAAAATATGTATCATTCAAGGGATGTTCTAGATGTAGTTTTTCAAACATGTTTTGCACTAAAGGGGATAACATTTCTGTCAAGAAGAAAGTTCAAGAGTATCGAATTACAATAATAGGAGTGTGAAGAACAAAAACTATGATACAATCGGTTCAGGCTTGAGGGTTGTGTTGCATCTAACAGGACATGGCACCAGTCTTGGTTCTCCAACTGACATCTCAGTTTCCACAACATTGCCACAGAAACCACTCCATCACTGTTACAACCATCACTATCAACCGCACAACCACTTTTGCCGCAACCAGAAAACCACTACAAGTTATGAAACTGCTACCACTTACCCCTCCTTCACCTTCATTTCCAGCATATGACTTCAAAATATGATTACCAACACCAACACCAACACCACTACCTCCACCAACATGATCAGCTTGATTTTATGTGATTTCCAAATGAGGCTTTCTGTGTTATCATCACACATGCTGTTTTTTCAGAAATCTCTACAAAATTACAAGCAATTTCTCAGTTTCAGAAAATTTTCAAACAAAAGAAAAGAAACACAAATCAGAAAACATTTAATGCATCCAAGTAGGTTTTAGATTATATTGTCCCTGCATTCGATTTGGCTAACCAAACCAGCACTGATATATGCATATCTTTTCTATGTTTAACTATAGGTTCTTGGTATAAATGAAATATGTGTTTGCAGTATCTTTTGCTATAACCCATGGCATCTTCTTTGAGTTTCGTACTAAATTTCTTCTCTTCATATAGTTGGGGTTCCTTTAATTTTGGAGATTGTTTTTAATGAATTGTTGTCCTTTTTTTCATAATTAATTGATTTATGTATTTTAGCAATGTCAGAAATGGTTGTTCCTGAAGTAAAGAAGAGATTGCTTGATGAACTTGAAAATATGGGATTTCCACTGGCTCAAGCAACGAGGGGACTTCATTATTCTGGTGTGTCATTTACATGAAATAGTATCAGTGTGCATTTTTTTTTTGTATTGTAAATAGTATATACTTCAAATTATTACCATTGTCAATGAACGGCAGTGATTTACATTTAGAACCTCTTAACTGTATCACAACTTTTCTTAACTTGCCAATATAAGTGTGTAACACAAACTTAATGATGCTATTATGTGTCAACTGCAATTGAACTTAAATTTTAGGTCTGACATGCCAATTTGACGAAAATAAAAAAATGTAATCCATCAAGGACACTAGATAGAAATTGGTACTTTTCGGTCTTATTTATACTATTGTAACAGGCTCAATATATGTTGTCATGATCTTTACTACCATTTTTTTTTGAACTAATTAATCTTTGAAATAGCATTGCTGGGTGAGGCTTATTGTTTACTTAAGTTTTCCTTGAATTTGATAGGTATTTAGTAATCATCTAATCTAGAAGCACTTAATACTTTCTCAGAGTCAGGTTCTGTAGAAAACAAAACCTGGCTGTGATTTGCCCATGCCTCCTAATTTCTAAAAAGAAGTTTTTCACTGTAACCTTTGATTTTCTTTGTGAATGAGAAGACGATGAAATTTCCGGTCTTTAGCTCCCCTTTGCCTCCTCTTCCCAAGCTTTTAGACTACACCCACACAAATTCCAAATACATGGATGCAGCAATGGTGCAAAGTTTCGTTGTTGAGCACTGCTCAATTCATCAGAATTCTTTTCCAAGCTATTGAAATTGTATTCACATCATTAGTTTATACATTGAGTAGAAATAGAAGCATTGGAAATGCAACCCTTCATGCCCAAATCTTCAGAAGTTAGAAAAGGTTCTCATACATGATACAGCAAACTCAACAATTCTGAAAGTGTTCTCATACATGATACAGCAACTCAACAATTCTGAAAATGATGAACAGAGACTTTCAAAAGCATTACAGCTTGTTTATTCACTTTCATGTCTTGAACAAAAAACCTAAACTTGTAAAATAATAGTGCATGTTGTTTAGTCTCTAATAGTGGGGACCTGGGAGATTGGGAGTACTGGATATAGACCTAACCCTTGAACTTATGTACAAAGTGATTGCCCTTAGATTAACCCACAACTTCAAGGTTATTGGGCCAAATAAAAATACAAGCGTCACTAAGTAGTTTGGACTCTAGGTTTTGTGATTCACAGAGTTTGGTTGAGGCTCAAATTCAACTTAACGACCAAATGAGGCTAAAATAATTCTCATTATCAAAACATTATTAATTTCGATATCAAACAAGTAGATTTACAACATCAATAAAATTTCTAAAGTTTTTTTGAATTCCTGTCCAAGGGATCTGGAGGCTGGAACTTAGAATTGACAATCCAACTAGAAGTAGTCCTGCATCATGCCACACCTGTGATGATCCTTAATGCTTATGAAATTTACATCTATATCCCTTTCCTTTCTCTGCATTGTCCCTCCTTGTGTTGGTCAAGTGGCTATTGACATCATGAGTTTTGTGTCCAATCCAAGGTATAATTTATCCAAGGGATGACAACATTGGAAGGAATGTTCTTCTCCTACTCTCTTAATAGATTCTTGCTTTAAGAAATCAAGGACTATATTTTCATTACTCCTTGTGTCACTGTGAATTTCAAGGGTTGAACAACCATAAGGTTTTTCTTTTGACCTATGAAGCACGAGAACATGTACGGTATTGGTACTGGTATGTCAATATAGTAAAATCTAAAAAAAATAGTGTACGGGTACGGCTTGATATGTTAATAAAAAAATATATGTATATTTACATTTTTAATTTGGAGTAATGCAAAAATTAGTTAAATAGTTTAGTTAGTTAAGATCCAACCTACAATTCATATTTAATGTCAAAAGTAAGGTATAAACCAAAATTAAATGTCATTATATTAAATAACGTTAAAAAATCATGCTAAGCATAAAAAATTCAATGAAACTAACTTCATCTTTGTATCGAAGAAAATACTATTCCAGCTGAGGTACGGCTTAGGTATATATAACGTACTTCTTAGGCACGATAAAAATTAAGAAGAAAAAATTTGAGTACGTGTTTCGTATATCCAGTACGTATGCTACCATGCAAAGTATTACCTGGTGAGTACCAAGTACAAGTATGACATATTTGTCAAAGTGCCCATGCTTAATAGTTTTTGACTAATGATTAAGTGTTTTTGCCACAACATTGCCATGGAGATTTAATGTGCCCTATGTGTGCAGATGTGAGGACATGTTCAGGTAATTAGAATTACATATTTGATCACGGATACTTTGATCGCCCTTTCCATCTTGGCAAAGCTTTTTTTATTTTTTATTATTAACGAAGATGTCTTTTCTTCAACTAATTAGTAGTAGGCTTAGATATTCTCATTTGTCAACATCATTTTTGTTTTTGTTTTTTTTAGTTCTTTGGTGTTTTGAGATCTTGTGCATTTTTTATTTTTTTTTGAGTTATCAAAGCATATTATTAATTTTCTATCTTCTTATATATATATATATATATTCTTTTTTATAATATTTCTAATTCTTTTCATTTGGTCATTTGATCTTGCATCCACCTAACCTCATACTAGACGTGCATTACATATGCATTTGTGCTAGTGTCCAGTGTTGGGAAATATTTATATTGTGAAGTAAGCTACTGGCACCATTTTATTCGTCAAGTATATATTTGTTATTACATGCATGAATACACGTGTATTTTCTTTGTACTAAAGCAATATATGCTTCTAAATCCAACATGTAAAAGCAGATGATGTTTTGTCAAAGACCATATGTATTTCAAGGCAATAACAGTTGTAAACATTGTTAATATATAAACTTTAAAAAGCACAGTACAAATTTATGATGACATCAGAATTGTTTGCTGAAGCCCTAAAACCCTTCAAAAAATATTAAAGAAACTTCATTTGTGGAATTAGGCTTTGGAAGGTTTTTTAAACTCTTCATGTATTATACACAGTTAATCAACTTGAACGATGAAGAAAGGTGGTTCTCTTTGCTGAACTTCAATCTTATGAAGATGGCCTTGGACTTATTCCTTTATGAGAGAATACCTCAAGGTTAAAGCGATAGTTATAATTTGAAATTTGTACTTCATGCACACCTAGGAGGCATGGATATGGACATGAGTCACGACGATCGAAAAAAAAAAAAAACTAGGACACAAACATGGTGACTATGAAAAGCACAAACACCTCTTTGGAGGTCACGTACTGGTGTCCAACATTTGCCGGACATGGTCACAAGATTGAAACACTCTGAACATGTTGGGGACATGCATTGGACATGTTGGGGACACATGGTGTCCCATATTTGTTTTTTCAATTTTTTTTCCCACTGGAGTAGCATACCCAATGTTGATGAATTTGGTGAGAATTAATATTTGACATATGATAAATATATAACATTTAAAATATGACACTGAAATATAATACATATATAAAGTTATGTGTTTTGCACATGTGCCTCATGTGCCATAGCTTGCATTTTTTGAAAATTTGTGTGTTCACATGTCCTTATTGTGTCGTGTTACGTGTCTGTATTCATGCTTCTTAACATAGTGGGGATATGCAAAAAAAATATACTTTTATTTACTATAAATAAATATTACATTCATAAACAACCTAAATTATTGAAAACTAACACTAATTTAACATTAAAAAAAAATAATTTAAACCCGCTAGAGACTACATCTATGTTGCGTTAAGCTCTAGAGATCGTTACAAGCCAAGCTCTTAACTTCACAATTGTGGTTAGATCTATTGCGCTGTCGATAGTTTGATAGAAGTTCTATTTTATTTTTATTTTTTTATAAATTCAACCCTCATGTTTTCAAATATTATAATATGACCTCCAAAATAATGCTTTTAAATTTTAAATATGACCTCCTAGTGTCCCCTGAAAAAAACATAATTTCATAGTCGTTCTCATGTGTCCCCACTTGTGTTTGTATCCTATACGTGTCCCACACAGTTTGCATCACCTATTTTGAAGTGCCGGTGCCTAAGAAATACGGATATGTGACATGATACGAATGTGACACGGACATGCCGACATAGCAATTTTCAAAAAAAGCAAGTCACGACACATAGGGGACACACAAAATATATAGTTTTATAAATGTATTATATATCATACATATGAACATACCATTCAAAGATAATAAAAAAAAATGCATCATGGCTCTAATTCCTATAAATTTGTAAAAAAAATTTCTAACATTATGTCTAAGTTATTTTTTTCAAAACTTTAATTAGCTTCATGTATGTCTAAGGGTCCTCCAAGTGTTCAAGTCTAAAAAATTTATTGAAAAATAGGACATGTTTGGGCGAATGCTAGACACATGTCGGGAAGTGTCCGACGAGTGTCGGTGTCTGACATGGGCAGGGCACGGGCACGGACACAGTCATAGATGTGCTACCTTCTTTGAAGTGTCCATGCTTATTAGGTCAGTGCTTCATAGATGCAAACCTTATATTCTGGGTCTGGCACACAGGCCTATGTGCTTTTCAAATTCTGAGATGTGCTTTTGAATTTGCTTCTTCTTACAAAGTATTTTCAAACTATGTGCAAATGCAATTCATGGGGCTTCTCTGTGCATGTAAATATGATTTTTTTTCCAGGTAATTCTAGTATTGATGCTGCTGTTAATTGGCTCTTTGATCACGAGAATGATCCAGACATCGATCAGATGCCCTTGGTATGATTTCTTCATCTTGATGGAATTCCTTTCTTACTTTGTGTCTGGATCTTCGTGCATAATTTCAGTATTGTAACTGAATACTAATTCTTTTTTGTTTGGGTTGTAGTTTTGTCAGTGGAGAACTTTCTAATCATGCTTGATATCCATCTAATGCTTTATTTTTAGCTGAAAATAAATCTAGCAATGGAGAGGCTTTATTCTTTGCACATGGAAAATATGTGGCAGTTCTGTGATACACGGTTTTGGTCTCTCCTTTGTTACCCCATAATTGTATTAGAAGAGGATTATAAACTCCACAACTACAACAGTACTTGTAAGGGAATAAAATGATGGATTCAATTGAAGGAAATCTGAAGTCATTAAATGGTATAACTATTTAACCAGGAGCAGAAGTTGCATGTGCAAAATTAATATGCTTAGTATCACCCACTTTACAGATTCCTAGAACTTTAAAATGCAGGATCCGTTTTTTTGTATAAGACATATTGGAGGAGAAATTATTATTTAGGGGCTTATTAGGTTGTTGAGCTAGGATCTTTCAGTTAGGGAAACCTCATTGAATAGTAAGAAACTACAGGGTACAGAAATTTAGGGCTTATACCTATACTTCACAATTGTTTGGAGCATAATTATAATCTTGAAATCTCTCATCTAACTGTGTTATAGAGAGTGCTTTTTTTTAATAGCAGACCTCATTTTTCTTTACAAACTTTGATTTTGTATGTTTTATGAGCTTCATTGACTTACTAATTATATTTGACTTTAGCTTTTTGTAAGTCTTGTGGATGGACCTTATCCTCTATTTTTATGAGCTTCTTCTTCTTCTTCTTCTTCCTCCTAAAAAGCTAAGCAGCGACATATTGTTGCCAAGTTTTGGATTAGGGATGTTGGCCTTTGTTTTTATTTTCAGCCTTATTTTTGCTTCTTTTGTTTAATGCATAACATGAGTATCTGAATTCATATGCTAACCTAAAAAATGTCATGAATGTGGGTGCCATATTTTGCTTATATTGTCGTGGTAGTTAATTTTCTCTGTTCATTTTTGTTTTTGTTCAATTGCACCCAGGTTCCTGTGCCCATCAATATTGAGGCTTATGACCCTTCTTACATTACAGAACAAGTGAAGTTAAAAGCACAAGAATTAAGGTGTGCTTCTGACATCCTCTTCATGATGAAATCCTATGTGGCTTCTTTATAATGGCCAATATTCATTCAATCCAATTTCAGTTTTATTTTTGGTTAGCCCTTTAGTAATCAATACTTGGGTAAGGTTTGTTCATGGTAACTTTTGGTTGGTTTCTTCCATTGTTATTATTTTGATTTTTGCTCAATTGCAGGGATCGAGCATGCGGAAAGAAAGAAGAGGAAGAGACGAAAGTGGAAAGAGAGAGGGAGAAGGATCAAGCACACAGAAAGAAAGAAAAGGAAGAGAAGAAAGTGGAAAGAGAGATGGAGAAGTATCAAGCACGCAGAAAGAAAGAAGAGGAAGAGAAGAAAGTTGAAAGAGAGAGGGAGAAGGTGTGTTTACGTTATCTTGTTAGTCTTTCTCTTTTTCTGTTTGAACTCTTCAACCTTTTTTTCTTTCTCTACAGTGAGACATTTTCCATACTGAATATAGCTTCAATTTGAGAGGTTTTTGTCTTTGCAAATTGAGTCTTCTGTGAAACATGTTAGTCATAGTTCAATGTTTGTTTTTTGGATGCTGAATGTTGAGACAGTTACAGTAGTTCGAAAGTGGAATTATTGTTGTATTGATATTGTTGTTGTCATCATTTTTGTTGTTTCTTTGCTATTATTTATGATCCACCATATGTGATGATGTCTCTATTTCTTTCTTCTCAGTGAGTTTTTTTTCTTCTTTATATATATATATATATATATTTTATTTTAAACTTTTACTTTACCTTTGTTTTCATAACATTTTTTAACTATATTATTATGGATTCATCTTTCCTAGTCATAGCTGTGTAAAGAGAAGTGTGATGGAGATAACCAAAGTGGAAAAGATTGAAAATTAGGACAGAAGATTGCATGCAGTGCCATTATAGGAAATCAAATGTTTGCTGACGTTTACCTTTTCTTTTTTTGTTTGGTTATCACTGTGCCTCATTTGAAACTGCAATGCATGTGATGGCTAAATTTTTCTTTACTTCAGTGAGTAACTCCAATTTGGCTAGAAAATTTTGACAGTTACATGTTTCAATTTTGTTGAGCCATAGAGTGTGTACCATCCATTATTGATATTTTCTTGATTCTATTAATGAAGCATATTTGACAAATATGTTTTCTTTCTAATTTATATGCTTCAAGGTCTCGTGTCAATTTCATAATTCTCATATTTTGAACATCGAATAATTTAGCTGTTATGCACTTGCAGGAGAGGATAAAAGCAGGTAAGGAACTGCTTGAGGCCAAGAGAATTCAGGAAGAAAATGAAAGAAAACGGTCTGTTGTGGAGTCATAGTTACGCTTATTGTACCTTGCATATCATGTCTTCTTTTTTCTTTTTCTTGCTACTTACAATTTTCACATGCTATTTTTTATTTAGCTCTATAGCCTTGTGGAAAGCAGAGAAAGAGAAAGAGAATAGAGAGAGAGATAAAATTCGTCAGAAACTACAGCAAGATAAGGTTTTTTCTAATTCTCTTACGTTTTGCTATGGATGTCAGATGTTCAGACTAGAGCATTGTTGCACAATTGATTGCATGTATAGTAGTTTTCCCAATTGAAAATACCGTATGAAATTTCAAGACATAGCTTTTATCTGCATCTTCAAGTGAATAGGTGTGCCCTTTTCATAAACAGTCACAGCCCCTGCTGAAAACTGTTCTCTAGCATACAAGATCTGGGAAGCACTAAGAGTCTAGGAAGCATTTACTTCTTGAACTTTTTCAATATTCTTTTACTTAGAAAATATGAAGAGTTTTCCCAATTGAAAATACCGTATGAAATTTCAAGACATAGCTTTTATCTGCATCTTCAAGTGAATAGGTGTGCCCTTTTCATAAACAGTCACAGCCCCTGCTGAAAACTGTTCTCTAGCATACAAGATCTGGGAAGCACTAAGAGTCTAGGAAGCATTTAATTCTTGAACTTTTTCAATATTCTTTTTATGTTCACCATTCAAATAGTTGCTAATAATATTGGGAAGCAGTAAGAATCTAGGGAACAATGTCTAGGAAGCATTTAATTCTTAAACTCTTCTAATATTATTTTTTCTATTCATCATTCAAATTATTGCTACAATTCACTGCAATTCCATTAGTATTCTTTTCACAGGCAGAAAGAAGGCGGAGGCTTGGATTGCCTCTGGACGACCCTCCATCTGTAAACAATGCTTCAACTTTGATGCAGAAAGAAAAGGTGTGGATCTTTGGAATCATATTGATTGATTCAGATATTGCTGCATTCTTAATGAAACGTGGTTCATTATCAATGTTTTCCTCCTGTTCAAATTGCAGAACTCATTGCCTGTCAAGTCTGCTTCATTGCCTGTTAAGTCCAATTCATTGCCTGTTGTTACGGTGACAAAGGAAGAGATCATGAGAGACTGTTTAAGATCTCTCAAGCGCAATCACATGGTACATGACATATCATAGTCTGTCCCGTGACATAATAATAGCTAGTAGCAACGAAATCATGTAGTCAGAAAGCCATATTTTGATGTTGAACTTTCTATACAGTACTCAATGGATAAAAGGTGCTTTATATGCAATTTTGTGGATTTAAAAAAAAAAAACAAAAAGGGAATTAGAGTTCCTTTCTGTGCATATTGTTCTTTTTGTATATAATGTTTTGCGCCAGTGAGCAGAGGAATTGCCTTAAATCAAACTATATAGCCTTCTTCTGATTTTTGTTGGTAACACTTCATTTTCTTTGCTCATCTGCTCTGATCATTAATGAAATGTATTTTTGCTCCTGTGAATGAATGCCTTCAACATCTAAGGGCCCATCTTCATAGAGAAAATGTGGAATTACCTATTATTAGAGAGCAAGTGTTTTCTTTGCCCTATTCTAGATAACCAGCAGGACCTCATGTTTCTTTTTCTTGTGGGTCTAGGACAATGTTACCAAAGTGAGGAGGGCTTTCCAAACTCTTCTGATTTATGTCAAAAATGTTGTGAAGAATCCCAATGAGGAAAAATTCAGAAAGATACGTTTCAATAACCCAGCCTTCCAGGTAATATGCATGTTCTATGTATCAGGTTGCATTTTCTTGCTTAATTGGGAAAAAAAGAAAAAAGAAAGGATCCAAATTTCAAACTGTCCACTAGAACTCCTTGGATTGGTGCTGGCTAGTAACAACTAAATATTATTTATTTGATGACTGCCTGCTTAGTTTTATTTTGGTGTTTGATAGGATACATAGTGTAGATGACGATAGAGATGGAAGGAATGGAGGGATTTTTTAAAATGTTCAAAGGTAACTTGCTCTAATGGTGTCTAACTAATTTTAATGACACAATATCAAGTTACCAAAATTCAGACTAAAATGGAATTAGGACTTGGCTTAGAATATCTGCAAGCCGGTATCAAGTATCCACAAGATGAATGCAACTCTATTTGGTCTTGGGTCTTCCATTGACGAATTATCTAACTTCAACTTCCTTGGTTTGCCTGCTCTGAGAAGGAACTGGGTAATTTTACTTGTGTACCATACCAATTGCCATCTTCCTTGTGACATGCCATGTGCAATAACACCCTACTCCCTACTCATCGTAGAATCTCTATCCATACAAGCTCACATAACCATATACTGTGGCTATAATTTTCTTATCCTACACTTGGCTAGAAAAATGCTTTTTACCTTTCTGAATCATCAATTTCCATTACTAGGAAATATCATGGTTTGGATCTTCTATAAAATGTGAAAACAATTTATCAATACCTGTATAAACTATTCTCATATAGTTTTGCCTACAAAATACCTTTTACAATGAGCAATTTTAAGTAGCATAACTCTATATGCCTCCAAATGATTGATTTTGAGAGTTGCATTATTCTCAAGTGGAATAGATTTTGTGAACCAACCCCAACAAACTATCTTATATTTACATTTGTCTTACTTGAAAAATTATGTTTACACATGGCCATCTGTTAGCTGTGACTCAGCTCATACTGATTTTTTTTTTTTTTTTTTTTTTTTTTTTTTTTTTGTGAACTCTATATGCTGGAATTGAGTGTACAAATTTTCTGCCAAACTTTCACAATTGATAAAGGTGTACTGATAGTTAAAACTACTTTGCAGTCATTGTAACAATGCAACTATTTTATGTTCTAAACAACAGGATCGAGTAGGGAATATGAAAGAAGGTATTGAATTTCTTGAACTTTGTGGGTTTGAGAGAGTTGATGAAGGCAAGTTTTTGTTTCTCCCCGAAGACAAGGTTGACATAGCGGTATTGAAATCAGCTGGGAATGTTCTGGACTCTGCAATAACAAATCCATTCTTTGGACTTCTATCGAGCTCAAGAGAAGATGAAGCATTTGGCCTGGGTGAGTGATTCAAGTTGGAAATTTATGAGAGTGTGTTTGGCTATAGACAAACAAATGGGCAACTTTGAAATTTTATTTTTTATTATTGTCTTTTCATCTTAATTCTTATGTTGGGGGTCTTCTATGTATTCGGAGGATGAAATGCAGATAAATAAAGAAATGAATGTATAATTTTTTTGATGTAAACAAGGATGGGTAAATGATGCTTGAGAAACTGTGGCACCACCCTTTTCCGCCACCCGCCAGAGACAACTTCGTTGAAATTCTTTCATCCTGCAATGCACCTAGCCTTCCATATCTTTGCCACCATGGTCCCAGAGAGCAGCATTTTAATTTTATACTGGCAATGCAGTGCAGGGTTAAGTAGATCAGGTGAGTCCAAGTCTGACCATGGAGTGAAGTGAGATTACTCAAATGTGGTTTTAATATGACAGCAGAGCGTGGCAGTATACAAATCGTCTGTTGGTTGGTTTTGAGTACTCATGGTGATCATGGTTGATTTATAGGAGATAGTGTTTTACGTTACGGGCAAGTTGCATGATTATATTTTTCACTTATTATTTGTTATAAGATAAAAAGTGCGAGTTTGATATAGTCGAATGTTTAGAACTTTGGATTGAGTACAAAGTGATTTATCAAGTCCTACAAATAATGAGGGGAAGGATACAAGTTATATAAATACTTCTCTTGAATAATGCTGGATCAGGGTTCGGCATGGTCACCCGATCAGCCGTGACTAATATTTCAGTTGAAAACACATGTTTGTCGTTTGTTAAAAACAATTGAAATGTAACTCAACTTTTCTCTCCAAAAATAAATAAATAAATTAGCAACAACTTAAACATATTAACTTTTAAAAAACCAAAGAACTTATTAAAAAAAGTCAATATCAAACAATCTCGAGTTAACTACGCCTTGCGTTAAGGCCATTGAGGCATGTGCCTTAGGTTCAAAAAAATTGGCCCAAAATGAGGCTCTCAAATTTAGTAGTGTCTTATAGTATATTACAAATTGAAATAGGCACAATTTATTTTTGTTGCTTTAAGGCCAGTCTAAAGGGCTCAACTAATTTTGTTGGGCCCATATGAAAAAAAGAAGGGGCACTTATTAGTAAGTTTCATATACAAAGTTTAAAACTCATCTAGTCTCAAAATAAAACATTTGCACCAATTAGTCTTACATTTTTTTAATTGTTACAAAAAATCTTCATTCTTTTTTTTTAAATTTAAAAATGCTGCTACATTCTACCACCACTGGACTTCCGTTCGACAATCACTAGAGACTTGCCGAAATGTTTAACATCACCTGGAAGTTGTCGGAGTATCGTTGGATGTTTGTTGGAGTGTTTTGAATGTCACTGAAAATCGCCGGAATGTCCAGAATGTTTGATGGATGTTAAGCATATCGTCAGAGACTTACCAAAATGTCCAGAATATTGTTGGAAAAAAAATAAATGGAGAAATTATAGTAAAAAAAATATTTTAAAAAATGTGCTAAATATTGATAAACTAGGGAAAAAAAAAAAAAAACAACAATAACAATGGGAAAAAAAAAAAATATTATTTTTCAATTTTTGTAGGATTTAAGCAACTAATGTCCAACATTGATCAAACTGAAAAGTAATCTTTGAAATTGTAAAATGTTACAGTTTTTTACAGTTTTAAAGTATGATTCTATTAAGCATATGTATCCTTATTAATCAAGCTGAAAAACATGTTATGAAACTGTAAAATTTTACAGTTTTAAAACAATAATTCATTTTAGTACCCCCCAAAAAAATTTGAAACTGTAAAATTTTACAATTTTTATTGCCTGTAACTAAAACTCGAAAACAACTTGTTCAGAACTCGAAAAATTTCTCTATTAAAATAAGAAAACAGAAGTGTGTAGCAAAGAAGAGGTAGAAAAATTGAGAGAACGAAGGAGAGAAACAGAAATAGAGAAGATTGTACTCCGACAACTATTTTTTATTTAGATATAGTCGGACCTTATGTAGATCTACTCAGATCTAATGTAGATTTGAGTATATCTACATCAGATTGGAGTAGAGCTACTTATCTTCTTCGCCGAAAACTCGTTTCCTTCGTCATCCGTGATGGTGAAATAAGAAGTCGGTAATTGGTAGTCGGTGGTTGTTGATGAACCCCAATCAATGGTGGTTGTTGGTCACCGGTAACCGGCGATCGGCGATCGGCGATCGGCGACCATACATATTAGAAAGAGAAAGAGAAACGGTAATGTATGGTCGCCGGTCGCCAGAAATTATGAAGAGGTAGAGACAGATAAGAACAAATGCACAAAGAATAATGAAAAAGAAAAATACGTAGTGGATTTTTTAGAGTATCCAAAAGATTATAGGACTAAATAGACTTCTCCACATTTAAGTAGGACTTCTAGGTAATTTGACCAAAAAAAATATTTATAAGTGTGGTTTAGCCCAATTGAAATTAAAACATATACAAACAAGTGCTGTTGTGGCCCAGTTTTTAATATTTTTGAGTATTTGTAATGATTTCTTCATATTTTAATATAGGGCAAATTATATATACCTCCCTCGAGGTTTAGCTAAATTACAGATACCCCCTGAGGTTTCGAAAATTACATCCCGCCCCCTGAGGTTTGTATTTTCATAACAATTTGCCCCCTGAGGTTTATATTTCATAACAAATTACCCCCTAATTTCTTATGCAAATATAGCATTCAAGGGGGAATTTGTAATTTCTCAAATCTCAGGGGATATTTGTAATTTAGCCAAACCTCGAGGGGGTATATGTAATTTGCCCTTTAATATATGTAAGAAAATTTTAGTTTATAATTTTAATAATTATATGTGCAAGTAAACTTAAATAAAAAAAACTTGTTGATACTTAACATTTTACATATAAATTTTTTATTAAAAAATGTATATATAAAAGGGTCCCATTTTCATAGTTCGCCTTAAGTCTCATAAACCTTAGAGCCGGCCTTGTTAATTGCCATAACTAACATAGCTTCTAGTTTGTGTGCTTGGCATATAGTAACCAGTACGTCAAGTGGCCGAAATAACATAGTGTATCCTTTCACTCATTAATTCACATGTGATTAAAATGAGACTCGAGAAGTCACTTTTTGCTTAGTCTAAAGTGTTCAAATTTCGGTCCTTTTTTTTTTTAATATACTAAATGTCAATTAATGAGTTGAGGGATGATACCACATTATCTCATTCACGTGGTGTATACATTACATAACATACTTGACGAGAAAGCATAGTTGGGAAAAAGATTGAAACTCAGAATTTGATCTACAATGATATAAAATGTTATGTGTTAACTTTTAATTTGTAATAAAACATAATCATGTAAGATCTAGCCTGCGTTTGGTTATATTTTGTAAATGTGATTTGAGAGTATGAGTTATATTTTGAGTTTGTGTGTTGTAGAATTATGATTTGAGTGTAAAAAATTTATTTGGTAAAGAGTTTTGAAAATAGTTTTGAAAAAGAGGTTTGATTTGAGTGGGGAATTGTTGATGTGACATTTGATATGTGATACAAAAATTTATAACTAAACATACAACTCAAAATTATTTTAAAGCATATAAAAAATTTAAAAATTTTCAGAAAATATTTTTCCCAATTATATAAATCAATTGCAAAAAAAAAAAAAAAAAAAAAAAATCACTGTTTCGGACAGTTGGCCGGTCAACCGGCCAGACGACCGGCCGAACGTCCCGTTCCCTCAAACGCCCCCTCTGCAACAAACAAAATGTTTTGACATACAGACAGAGCTTCCGGCAGAGTTTTGGAAAATTAATTCCAAAACTCTTACCAAACATCATGCTCAAATTCAAGTGTTGAAAACTATTTTCAAAGCACAAACAAACAGAGCATTCTCTTATCATGTCATTGTGAGCTAATTGTGAAACTTAAATTGTAAATCTCTAATATTTCCCAACGTAGTTGTAAGTCATATGCTTGATGTCTAAATACCTGTTTGCTTCTCATAAACTAAGGGCAAACACCTAGGTTGTTATGCTAGGAATGCAAGCATGCCAGGACCGATGAACCTAGTTTAAGGTTGGAATTGCAGTTTGAGATTTCTAACTTCCACAGGACTTGATTGTATGTGGCTAAGAGGAATCGCCATTGGTTCGGATCTTACCCCAATAAAGAGGACTTTTAACAAATTTGCTAGGTGCAAAGAAAGTAGGACTGAACTTTCATTAACTGGAATGAAGTACAATTTGATTAAGCCAAGGCTAAATCAAGAAACAATTAATTTACTGTAGGAGTTGAATTGTTTAAGTAAAAGACAATTGCTAAAAAAATGTATAAATGAACTATTTGTTGAGTGTTTTGGTACTGGACCCATCTACTGGCGTACTTAGAGTCCTTTTATAGTGCTATTTGGCCTCTATTTTCCGCTCTAATTGCCAGGACCTGGCAGCACCAAGTCCTACCACTTGTCCCATGATCTTTGATTTGAGGCCCAAGAATAGCAACCACCTTGACCACCAACGGCTGGCTTTCAGCAAATACCACTCCTTTGTAGTCTTTTATGGCTCATTGGTCTACTAATTTCCCTATTTTCTTTATCCTTAACAAACATGGCCTAAACCACTTACACCTTAATAGAGGCCTCAACCACATCCTATTTTCTAGAAAATGGTTGAGAACTCTCTTTTATCTAGAAAATGGTTGAGAACTCTCTTTGTCTTTACTTATTATTTATTTAATAATTAAAATAAATAACAAGTTAGTCGTCGTTTGCCACCTAGACCAGGCTCCACGTCATTCCTGTTATCATGATCTGGCACTACTGAATTTTGCCGTGTCATTCTAGATGTCACCTGGTACTTTGCTAAAAAAGATAAAAACAATATTCCCATTGTTACAACTCATAAGGGTATATTTGAAATTTTTAGATTTTAGTTAAAAAGTTGAAAAAATATTGCAAAAGCCAAAAAGTAAAAAAAAAAAAAAAAAAATAACTCATACAAAAAATTCAAAGATTTTTTTCATTTCTCTTCTTTTTGCACATTTTTTTCATAAAAAGAAAATTATTCTCAAATAGTTTAGTTTCTTTCAACATCATATTTTAGCTAAAAAGTTTAAAAAAAAAACCAATTAAAAAGAAGGAAAACAACAAACTAGTGGCTGACAGAAAAATTAATCATGAATGAGTAATAAGCATTATAAATAATAATAATTAAAATTATATATTTTTTCACTAATGTGACTGAAAATTTCCTCTTAAAAAAACCAACTCCTAAAAAAGTATTGAAAATATATATATATATGAAGATGGGATGTATCTAAGGGTGTTCAT